GTCTTAGTTTGAAACTCCACGAAGGCAGTTTGAACCCTGTTTACTCTAAGCCCCCAACAAGACACCTCCCCTGACTCCTCTCCGGTAAAATAAATAAATAAATACGGAGTAAATGTGTGCACAAATTTGCAGCTCAGTTCAAGTGTTCAACCATCCCAATAAACTTTACAGCCATTTATGTGAGGCTTTAGAAATGGAGTGCATTAAAGTATCTTAGGATACTCACCTGAATCATGCAAGGTTATGATATTCATAAAACCATTTGCACGGTAGGATGTATGATTAACATAATAAATCAATAGACGGAATAAGGCACGGCCTCGTGCCCTCGTTTATATATTTAGAGTCCCGCTTCGTGTTAAAACTGGGGAGTTGGGAAACTGTTTTAGAAAATCTGGCGGATTTCTCAGAGTATCGTGTGATCACTTTCCGAATCTAATGTTTCGACCCTATGCCTGGGTTACACGAAATTTAGATTATGGGGATAATCACTCTTAGAGACAGTCTAAAACTGAGGCACCAATATAGACCACGAACTAGCAGTTTTAGTAGAACTCGAATTGTTCTGATTACCAAAGAGATAAGGCCAATCAGTTAGAGTTTTACTCTAACAGAAAGTCATTCTATTAAATAATTAATATGGACATGTTTATCCGAAAATAAATTTCCATATTTATTTCTTTAATAAAATAAAATTTTGGTCCGGGGCGCTGCCCCGAGCCCCGCGAGGGCGGCCTCCCTCGACCTCGCTCGCTGACCGGGCAGCGAGACCCCCGCCAGGGGCGCTGCCCCTTGGACCTCGTCAGGGGCGCTGCCCCTTGGACCCCGCAAGGGGGCGCAGCCCCCTTGACCCCCACCATTTAATCGAACCAAGTTTAAATTTAATTTCGTACAAGTGTGCGCTCCGCACCTCCTAACTTGTCTAAAATTAAACTTGAACTCCATTGGTAATCTATAAATTCCATTACACTAAAATGAACCTGGTGATACTAAAATCACCAACACTTCGTGTACACGCTGGGCTACACGCCGGTCAAATTGTCTGTATACAAACAATTTGATCGGCTAGACAGACAATTTAACCGGTGTTTTATGAAGAAAATCGATTTACATACAGACAAAATATCAAGAGTTGTCTGTATCACAGACATTTTAAACCTGAATTTTTCATAAAGTGTCTATGATACAGGCGTGTAACCCGGCGTGTAAAACTTGGCATGTACAAAAGGAATTTTCCATATATTTAACAGCAAGATGACAGTAACAAGGAAAATAACCTGAGCAATACAGTACGGAAACAACTCATGAAGAAGTCTGGGAAAGTAAATAACATTATGACAATATATATATAGGGGTGAGTTCTAATACAAAGAGATCATCCCATGAAAAGTGAGAAGTCATGTAAGCCCTTGATTTCTTGAAAATGGATGGAATAGATCAAAACTCACGGTAAACTTAAATGTGTAATACATAATAGTAAAAGTGTATATGTCATATGTAAGAGTGCATATTCACCTCCTAAAAAAACAAAACAAACGATTTCTACACTTGTTATTTTTTTCCCCGAAAAGTGATGCACTTTTGTGTTACTCCAATGCACTTTTTCGCCATAGTCATGCACTTTATCGTTTACATTTTCATACTGAATTTTATAATATTTACACTATTGGCACCGAATTTTCCACTTTAAAATTGATCTGATCCATTCATTTTCTCATTTTAACGGCTAAGATTACTTCTCACTTTTCATATAAGGTGTACTTTGTATTTGAACCTGAGGTGCCGTCCGAACACCGTCGTTCGGGGCGGTTTCCGGTGGAATTTTTTGATGAAATTTTCATGGTATGTTCTTCATCAAGTCTAGTTTATCCATACCAAATTTTAGCTCAAAATTCGATCGGGAAGGCCTTCAAATGATTTTTTGAAGTTGACTGCGCCAAATTATACATAGAAAAACAGTTAACTTCAAAAAATCATTTGAAGACCTTCCCGATTCAATATTTAAAAGGTGGCATTTTCTACTGTAAAAAGATGACATTTTCACATAAAAAGATAACATAACAGTGACATTACTTTCGAATTAGTGTTTAATAAAACAACTACGATGACATTCTCAAATTAAAATGATGAGAAAAATAATTTAGACATCCAAAAGAAGAAGAAAAACAAAAAAAAAACATGGAAGAAGAAAACATGGGATGTGGAGGAGAAGGAGCTTACCTGAGCAAGTAGCAGAGCTATCATCGTCGGCTACGTTCTTCGCACCCATCATTTTTGCACAAATTAATCACAGCTGTGAAGAATGTGAGGTTGCGCGTAAATCAGGGGCAATTTTGCGATTCCATCCTATTTTTAGTCCCATCGAGTTAAACGAAAAACTAATGGTCCTATTTTTGCATTTTTGATATGTTTTAGTCTTATTTAGGTAAATCTCTCTTGTTCTAGTCATTAGAAAAAGAGAATTTGGATGACGAGGGTTTAAAATACGTAGTATTAGTCCACCAGAGAAGCAATAGGATTCCCTCGTGATGTTGGCTACACATTTCTGATCCTTAGTTCCTTACTCTGGTTGATGCCATAATCACCGGCATTGATATTATTCAGTGATTTTTTATTGGAAATAATTCAGTACCAAATTAATGCACTATCTAAAAATTAGAACCTTTAATTGCAAGCCATCAAATGATCTACTATTGTATTCTTAAAAAAATTAATATACAAATAAACAATACTTCATGCACAATATGAATATTCAGTATCTAACTTTACTCCCTTAGTCACGCAAAAGAAATTACAGATATCCAATTTACTGCACTTGTTTAAGACATTAACAAAACATAAATTTGCTGCACTTGTTTAAGGCATTAACAAATTAAAACATAAATATATTGCACTTGTTTAAGGCATTAATAAAACATAAACTTTCACTGAACCTTCATAATTTTTTCATTGCACAATTATGTCATATACTCCCTCCGATCCCTATTAAAGTTCTGACTTTCCTTTTTGGGATGTCCCTTATTTAAGTTCACACTTCCATTGTAGGAAACAAAACAGTGCAAAACAGTGTCAAACAGTGTCCAAACAGTGCCAAACAGTGCACTCCATAGTAAAGTAAAATTTTGACTATTCCATACTCCGGATCAACTAGTATCTGCCTGCGATATCCCTGTTCCTTCACCATTTTTTCCCAGCAATCCATTGCTCTGTTTGAATTTGCTCGAGTGCCGCACCTTCTCGTTTATTTTAATTTGCTTGGGGAAGCCCTCGATCACAATCATGAATTACGATTAGCACTTCTTAATTCCTTCTATATTTGGAGTTCGGCCGTAATACTTGCCTTCTTCTGCGGCTAGTTGCAGGCTGCCTTTGTTACTTTCCTTCCACGTGCAACGTGGACATTTGATTTATGAGGTTAATTTTGTCATCCGTGTTGTTTATTATGTGAGGCAGATTTTTTTGGGGAGAATGGCCAAAAATAACACTAAGGTTTTTAATGAATCTCGGATTGGACACTGAGGTTTTTAGTAGATCAAATAAACACATATTCCAACTTTGATAATCAGCCACCTACTAACACTCCCGTTAAAGAGACGTCTTCTCCAACGATTACAAACACACCCCAATTTGCAACCTTAAGTCATTCTCCATGGACGGTAAGTATGAGTGGCCTGTACCCAATCTTCTTCAAAGACAATGCAACATTAAGCATTATTACTTGGTAAGGATCAACCAACAAATTAACAAAAATCTATCAGAATAATGAAAAACCAGTGTACCAACTATCCACCAGACACCCCAAACAATAATTGACAGGGTAATATCAATAATCACGGATCCGAGTTTGGGTTTTCTGTGGGGGAATCCCATTGCTCTCCCAGACTCAACAGAGGCATTGAGCTTAGTTAAAATTTTGTAAGGCTCAAACTTAAAATCTTCACAAAAATCTAATCCACTTATCCACCAATTCAAAAACTCCAAATCCCCAGACCCAACATCACTTGCCTTTGAGAAATTTTCTGATTTTTCCTCAAATGAATCAAGTAACAACATCTGGAACAACAAAGTGAAGAAGAAGAACAGTCTCACAGTACAAATCCACCGTAGATGGTCAATCTTCTTGAACATTAGTGCCCTTGGGCGTCTCGATTTGAACCTATGAAGCCTGCTTACTCCCGATCTTTCTTGAATTGAACACCACTTTCAAGAGAACCCGTTTATCCGTCCATCAAATATGACTCTTAATAGATACATTCTATTAAGAACAAGACTTTCAAGAAGGATAGAATATCAATCTTTCTTGCTTGTCATCAGCTGCTTGTGAAATTGAGAGTAATTTTTTTCTTTCCTTCTCGAGTAAAAGAAAGTATGGCTTAGGGTTAGAAATTGGGGATGTGTGTTTAATAGAAGGAGAAGACATCGTTTTAACGGTAGCTTTAGTGGGGTGGCTGATAATCAATGAAAAACTTCAAATTGGTGTTTATTTGGTCTACTAAAAACCTCAGTGTTAAATTTGAGATTCATTAAAAATCTTAGTGTCATTTTTTACCCTTTTCCCTTTTGAGTTTTTAGTCATATGGAATTATGGATCACTAAATACAAGTCTAGTCGAGAAATTTAACAACTTTTACTTATATGTGTATTTCCCTTGGATAAATATATAAGGACACATCGATGTTATGTGTATCTTTTTTAGATGAAGTGGTGGTCCACTACTGCACTACAGTATATTATATATTCCATGTATAACCCATAAAAATTGGTGGCAGCATATTAGAGCTGCCATGTGTCAATCATCAACTTTGCCGCTTGTTTAAGCATTGGGTTCTTCTTTTCTTTTTCATAATAAAATAAAATACGTAGTAATTTGTTTCTTAATTATCCCAAACCATAATATATATATATATATATATATATATATATATATATATATATATATATATATATATATATATATATATATATATATATATATATATATATATATATGACACTTAAGCTCTTGCGGCTGGCGTTTGGCCAGAGCACAGCATAGCCATGGCGACTAGAGATACAAACAAAGCAGGAATTCGTTAGTCCATCCTTTAACCCATATTACTTAGCTTGCTCTCATTATTAATTACACATTAATTTCTTACTTTGTCTGCACGCTAAGCTCGATTCATACATACTTCAGATTTTTCTTCAAATTCTAGCTCTTATTTGCCATTAGCTGGGAAATAAAAACAATTAGTGAACTAGACGACACCCTAGAAGCTCATAAAACAGAAAATCAAATGAATATGATCAAAATTCATCAATTGCTTTACATAAACAATCACGGTTTTTTACATGGCTAGTTTAATTTGCAAGAGAATTATCAAAAAAAAGGACGGGTCCCCAACCCCGACCAACCGATACGTTGGACGTTGGAGGGTACGTTGGAAGGATGTAAATTGGACTATAATCCCAATCTGACAGATAGAGAATGGAAGGATGTAAATTGGACTATAGATAGAGAGTGGGGTTGTCCCCGGTACTTGCAGAGACTGTACATTTTTAGCATAGTAACCCCTCATCGCAGGTGCCGAGATTCGAACCCGGGATGCAGGTGCCGAGATTCGAACCCGGGATTCAACCCTTGTGTCACCCCTTGCAAGAGAATTATCACCTACTACTTCTGTTCCTTTTTAAAGCGGGGGTCTTATTCTTTTTATAAGATACTCATTTACGCACATGGAACATACGGAGTATGTTAATTATTATTTTCATTTCTAGTGATGAACTTCTAGAAAAGCGATTATGTAAGCATGGCCATTGTTTTCTTTTTAGCAAAGTAGTTATGTAAACGTGATCATTTTCAATTTAAATAAATGAATGAAACATTAGTGTTATATGTTTACTGTGAAAATGGATGTTATTCGCAATCTATAGTTGAATTGATTGCGAGTAGTTCTAATTTATCAATCATCCTAATTTAACGAGGTAACTAATATCATTGGTTCACTCATTAATTATGTAGGTAATTAATAAAAGTCATTTTGGAGTGGGCTAGATACAAAATTTATCCCTATACATTTTCACACATATTTTTTTACAAGTAAGAATAAAGGTTTTTATCAAAAAAAATGGGGTGTGCGAAAATGAAATCAGCTTGAAACCTTATTTTCCATTCAGTCCCAGTCTGGTCTACCCCTGAACTCATATAATCATCACAATGATATTCTTATCAAATGATATTATTTACCTAAATCCTTTCCTAATGGCCCATAATTAGAAAATAACAAGAAAGAAAAACATTAGGACATCATCATAGAATAAATTTGGGATGGGAAAATTGTCAAGGAATTTAAACATTGATTCAAACTTGATCAGTAAATTCAGGTTTTATGTTCTCATTTTTTAAATATATTCCTATTATATAAATGCTAAGAAATCTAAATGTATGTAAATCTCTAAACCACATTAATTTTGTTTTATTCTGTTTTTTATTTTCCAAGGTAAAGCTAGACATAAGAAATTATTTTTTTCTTGACACTTTCTTTTGAGGGTGTTTCATTAATTTGTTTTCCAAGGTAACCTTCAGCAAAATGTTTTCTCATTTTGTTTTATTCTGTTTTTTATCGGTTTTCGGCTCGGTTTTTATCGATTTCGGTTCAATTCGGTTTGGAACGGATTGGAAGAATTATTACTAAACAAAAACCATATTATTTTTCAGTTTGGTTTGGTTTGGCTTGGTTTGGATTTGTTATTTTTAATAACATATGAAGGTTTTATTGAAATTCTTTAGTTTGCATTCGGTTTAATGCGGTTTGAAAGAAATACTAGCAAACTCAAACCAAATTGCATATGGTCCGGTTTCGGTTCGGTTTAGTTCAGTTTGGTTCGAGTGAACCAGGCCGATATGCCCACCCCTACTTTCTTTCACTCACATAGCATACACACCCGCACACACACATAGGGATGTAATATTATACCATTGTAGTCCATATTACATCCCTCCTAAATGTTCTCCCCTTTTCATTAGGCAGTGAGCTTGTATGGTTTCGAAATCAATTAGAACGTAAAAAGCAAAGCATGGTTATATTTGGATTTTCCCTAAAATGAATAAAGAACATTTTGTGACGGGAAATAAAATATTAATGGGATGAGAGCATTTTTCATTGCTTAATGAGATGGATGCATGCCCAACTATCCATGGATAAGATGCTGATTGGTATTGGTTTGCTGCAGAAGAGTTGGCAGGAACATCATGGAGAAGGAAAAGAAGCAGAAGCATCTTTGAAACTGACAACCTCGTACCAAGGCGGAGACTGAGAATGAAGAAGCATTATTGCATTAAGAAAGTAGCAGGGGCGGAAGATGATCATCCTTGTGGTGAATCACTTAAACCCGGGACACCTAATCAGTTGACACCTCGAAAGCGCCGTTCAGCAAAGAATACCAACTTATTGGTACATAAAAGCCAGTTAATTAAAAAAGAACTAGACACAGATGTCAGTAAGGAGGATATAAAAAGTTACTGTACAGGAAAAGAATATAACCTTCAGCAAGCACTGAACTCTAATGCACAAAAGTCTAGAAAGGATAACCGGGTCACTGTAGACCAACTTTATGGAATTCAAAGTTCTCAGACTTCACACAGCATTGGGAGGTCGGATTCAGACTCTTTAAAGCAGATGCACTACGTATGTCATAACAATTACACTACTTTGGAATGATTTCCTTGTACCGATATGAATGTCATTGTCATAGATAGTGTAACTATGAGTGTGTTGTATACTGCAGGTGTATTGTAGAAGATCTCAGGGGGAGAAGATTAGGCCATTCTTTCGAAATATGAGAACAAAGAATTTTAACTTCATGCGCATTGCAGGGCAGCTCTCTGAAAGTATGAATGAAGAGGTCAAAGGTAGAAATCACAATACACACTTTTCTTGGATATGCAGGGGATCCTGCTAAACTGTTCTGATGACCACGTCATTCACATCTTATAGGGTCACATAAACTAAGAAGAAAAAAGGTTATCAGTTTGGCTCTTAGCAAAGAAAGGTCTGTAGGTGGCGAAAAACAAAAGGAATCTATCACCAAGAAGAAGAATATTGAACAGAGAGCCCTAGTAACCTTCAAGGAGAAAAAGTTGACAGAGGTCAAGTTAGAAGCAAAAGTTGACCTTGACATGGATACAATAAAAGAGTGGGAATGGTTGATGGGAAAATCAGAAAAAGAAGAAAATGGGGACACTGAAATGGCTGAGAAGTATAAAGAAAAGTGGGAGAAGGAAAGAGAGCTTTTCCGAGGACGAATTGCATCATTCATTTTTCGCATGCATATTATCCAAGGTAATGTTGCAACAACTTTATACAGAACATGCAATATTTCATCTGCTCAACTTTATCTTTGTGGTTCTCCAAATAATTGTGCATACTCAAACTTGCATGATAAACCTAAGTATATATGCTAGTATAAGATGAGCTATCAACTTCATAGGTAATAGACGATTCTCTCCCTGGAAAGGCTCAGTTGTAGATTCGGTAGCAGGAGCATTTCTAACTCAAAATGTATCGGACATCTCATCAAGGTAAGTGGTTAGTCCCTAATTGGTACTTGCAAGAAACTTTTTATCGACCATAAAAACTGAGAGAAAGATGGTGAATGTAAGAGGATGTGCATCATTAACTAAACTTACTGGAAGCAAATACTTTTGCAGCTCTGCTTTCATGTCACTGGCTGCTCACTATCCAAACAGTGACATAAGTAGCAAATTGTCAGTACCTTCAGTGGAAAGTGACTCAATTGACAAAAGGCAGATTAAAAATCTAAGCATGGAAGAAAAGGAGAAGGAAGTAAACAGAAAAGAAGTTGGAATGAATTTTTTAATCAGGAAAACAGAGAAAGAAGGAAATAGTGTCAACCATCGAGATAATATAAGAAAGTTATGTGCTCAATTCGATGATAAAATGAGAAATGATGATACTACATCCAGTGCTTTAGATTGGAACGCGGTTAGCTCTTCTCATGTAGATGACATTTCTAAAGCTATTACAGATAGAGGAATGGACAAAAAACTTGCTGAGAGAATAAAGGTAAATCAAGATCAGTTGAAGACTGTTTCACTTCAAATGATGAACTTAAATACTACATAGTATTTGTTAAGCCATTGCAGCTCATTCTGTGTGTTGTTTTTATTTCTGAAGAATTGCATTGATCTTCTCAAGAAGGAGCTTGGGAGTATTGATCTTGAATGGCTTCGAAATGTTCCACCTGAGAACGCAAAGTAATCATCTTTCTTTTGTTGTACTTTTGCATTAAGTTTTATTTAAGAAAATTTAGTGCATTCTAGTACTTAGAGACCTGTCCTTGTTTCGCAGGGAATATCTTTTAAGCATATATGGCTTGGGATTGAAAAGTGTTGAATGCATACGGCTTTTAACCCTCCAGCACCAAGCATTCCCAGTAAGTTGATCACTTTACAATGAAAATATAGACTTTTAGAAGAAGAGAATTAGGGCTTAGAGCTTATCTTATTCATAAGAATTGTGTGTGTGTGCGCGCACACACACATATGGTGTGCAGAGGCGGTGTGTCCAACCTCAATAAGCTAAGAATCATCAATATATTATGATCATATCTCTAATATATTGCAATCATATCTTTAATATATTTCCTGCAATTTCATTATGATTTGTTTCCTTCTATACGACCCGCAAGCCAGATATTTGATCACAATCAAGAATCATGGGCAGGAGAAACGGTTGTTGTGGCAATGGTTTTGTGAGAACATTGGCCAACTGTGCATGGGAAGGGATATGAAGGACAGAAAGGAGACCACGCAAGGCCACAAAATGGAAATCCATCATCGCTTGCTTCATGCGGGAATGGAACGGTGCACTAGCAAACGAAGTCACGGCACCCTTGTTGTCACAAAGGAAATTGGTGACACCAGAGGGCAACTCCGCAATTTGTAAGAGTGATTCAATCCAGATCACTTCGGAGGCATCAACGGAGAGGGCATGATACTCAGCTTCCGTATAAGATTTGGCAATGGTTTGTTGTTTGCCAGACTTTCAAGATATTAAACAGTCACAAATAGCCGCAGGTGGAGAAGTGATCATCAAGATCCGCAATCTGTGTAGAGATTACTCGAAGGGGGAGAGATCGGCACTGAGTAAGAAAGAAACCATAGGAAGAAGCAGTGCCCTTCAGGTGGCGCAAGACCAGCTTACCTAAATGCCAATGATCTGTCGTTGGTTCATGCACGAACCAAACAGAATGGTCGGTCGGGTGAGGCTCGAGTATTGCAATGAACCAAGTACCTGCCTGCCTATAAAGAGGATATCACATGTACCAGAGCTATCAAATAAATTTAATGAAGCAGAGGGCACCAACGAGGTAGCCACTAAATTTGCACCATCCATTTTAATGTTGCTTAACAATTCTATAATATATCGATGTTGATCAAGAAACAAACCCTCGTTGTTAGGAATGACTTGATCTCCTAAAAAAACATGGGTCTTTACTAGTGTTTTTTGTCCCAAAGAGTCAGAAGTGGTGTAAAAACCTTTAATAATATCGTCGACATAAATTAGAACATAAATGTGTGTCCCTTTGGAGGAGAAAATAAAGAGGCTCGTGCCAGAAACAGACAGATAAAATCCAAGAGAGAAAAAGAAATCGCACAATGCGTGATACCATACCTGAGGGGTCTGTTTGAGCCCGTTGATAGATTCTCAAAGACGGCACAGAAAAAACCAAAATCCTTATTAAAATCAGAAGATGCTTCATGTAGACAGTAGACTTCTTAAAGATCTCCATGCAAGAAGCAAGAGAGAGTAACGGTAAGAACCACCCAAGTATTAATTGGTTTACTCACCAGTTTGTATTTGTCGCAAGAGTTTTTTCCATTTTTGGTCCCCGACTATTGTGTCATTGACACTTTTGGTACTCGACTTTTAATTTTTCCAATTCTAGTCCTCGACTATTGTGCTAGAGAAATTTAGTCCTTGACTTCAAAGTTTCTCACATTTAGTCCTCTGACTATTATCAAATTGACACTTTTAGTCCTTCCACTATCATTTTGATACAATGAATGGAGGACTAAAAATGTTATTATTATAATAGTTGAAGGACCAAAAGTGTCACTTTTATGAAAGTCGGAAGACTAAATATGGAAATTTTCAAAGACATGTACCAAAAGTGTCTCTAGCAAGATAGTCAAGGACTAAAAGTGGAAAAAATCAAAGTCGAGTACCAAAAGTGTCAATGACATAATAGTCGGAGAACTAAAAATGGCAAAAACTCTTTGTCGGAATAATCAATCCCACTGTGTTGATGAAAGCGCTTGCTATCAATTGAGCTTTAAATTGATCTATAGTGTCATCCGGTTTATATTTGACTGTGTAAACCCAGTTACAACCCACAATATTCTGGTTCGAGGAGAAATCACTAGGAAGTACCCTCTTGAACTGAAGCATCCAATTCCACTGACATAACTTCTCGCTATTTATGTACCTCTAAATCCTGAGACTGACGAGTAGAAACAATACTCCCTCCATCTAATTTTGGTTGTCTTACTTTTCTTTTTGAGCTGTCTCAAAATAAATGCCCAGTTTCCTTTTTTGGAGAAATATGTGGTTCATATTATTTCATTTTATTATACTCAAATCTCAATCACAACTTTTACTTTTCAACCATTTTATTAATAAGTGTGCCAAACTACAACAAGACATCCACTATGGGACAGAGGTGGTATGATGAGGGAACGAGTTTGTGGTAACGGGGATAGCTTGTTTCCGGAGTCTGTGTCAGGTTAGGTCCGCGTAGGTTTAGATTCATGTTGAGAGTGTAAATGGGTTATTGAGGTTGGATTGATGCCATACTTGTGCTCTAGTCTAGTTCAGACTGCATTGGAAGTTCAATCAGACCCAATAAAGGGTTTACATCCAAAATCCGTATGTCACAACAGATCTGACCAATTGCCCGTAACAACTTTTAGATGATTGCTATAATCCATAACTTAATAATTACAAAGGAGAGCAGATCTTGCCAGAGCCATTGGAGATGATTGGCACACTCACTGAGACGGGTGGGATGACAATTTTGCTGTGAATAACATGAATTAGTCATTACCTGTGACCCAAACATAAGGTTAAGAATCTGGTCACGCCGTACCAATTAATTGGAGTGCCAACCCCAAACTCTTTTGGGACTTAGGCTTGGATGTTATTGTTGTGCCAATTGATTGGGATTAAGCATGATGAGTCCATCAAGAGTTGTAGAAATGATGATTGCGGTAGAAGAGGTCCCAGTGATGAGTGTGGATCGTCTAGCGAGAATGATGAGTGTGGATCGTCTAGCGAGAAGTTTACTGTTCTTGGAGATCCTCCGGGTGTGTGATTTTGTTGTTGTTGGCCATGAGAAAATAGAAGGCCGGTTATACCTCTTATGGCTCTGATACCATATAAACTTTTATAGAAAAGAAGAGAATTAGGGCTTAAAGCTTATTATCTCTTTCACAAGAATTATGTACATATGTCTCTATGTGTGTATGCATGCATCCATGTATGGTGTGTACATGTGCTTTGCCTAACCTCCACAAGGTAAGACTACTAATATTTTACAATCATATACTCCCTCCGTCCCTCAAAACTTTGTGAAGTTTTACCGGCACAGGAAATAATAAAATAAAAATTGTGTGATTGAGAGATTTGAGGCTTGTACAGGGGAGGGGTGAAATAATAGGAGCCACAAATTCATTGATTAGTATGGAAAGTGACAAAGTTTTTTAGACGATCAAAAAGGGAAAGATGGCAAAGTTATTAGGGACGGAGGAGGGACTATCTAATATATTTTCTAATCATATTCCAAATACATTACCTATGGTTTCATTATGATTTGTTTCCTTTTATAGAAAAGTGCCTTAATCTACTAAAAAGGTACAATTATGTTTTGAAAGTTTTGGTATTTGGGGTAAGATACTACTCCATCTGCTTTTTCACATAATTTAAGATTAATTAATGTAGACTTTATAAAAAGTAAGAGGTTTTTAGGGTGCATTTCTTTCCAAAAAGGCAAATGGGACAATTAACTTAATACATCCCGACAATTAATTTAATACACCCCAAAAAGGAAATTGGGACAGCTATTTTGATACGGAGGGAGTAGTAAATATATCTATTCACATGGAATATAGCATTATCGTTTTACTTCACTGATCCAATTAGGTTGACACCAATGTTGGCCGTGTACTAGTTCGTCTGGGATGGGTTCCTATTCATTTACCGCCAAATAGCCAACCAATGCATCTTCTGAAAAAGTAAGTGGTATTTCATTATCATTAAGTACCTGTGTATAAAAGCACATCAATCACCATAATTTTCTTTTTACACCTCTATTATTGTTATCATTCATTACAATATAGGTATCCACATGTCAACTCTATTCACAAGTATATTTGGCCACGGCTATGCACACTTGATCACTTAACCCTGTATGTAGATGATCTCGTTCTATCAATGTTGTTCTTCATCAAGAAGTTTATAATTAAGTATTCAGTAGTAAAGTGAAAGAGCCATTAATCCATTTTGCAGGTATGAATTTCACACCCAGATGATCACGTTTGGAAAGGTAGAAATTGAGTCTTCAGAAAGTTTTTTAGGTATCTTGTTCGCATGACTAGAAAAGTAGCCATTGTAAATTTGATTTGATACAGGTGTTTTGTACAAAAGAAAGACCAAATTGCAATGCTTGTCCAATGAGAGCAGAGTGCAGGCACTTTGCAAGTGCTTTCACAAGGTAGGTTTGTTTCAACTACTCTATATATTGCTATAACATCTCATGATCTTTTCTTTTAGACATTGAGTGTTCTCATTTATATTCTTTGATGTTGAGAAAATAAATGCTCAACTTCTGAATGGAATTGTTTAGATTAAGGATTCTTGTGCACCTATGATGCTAAATCTATATGAATAACATTTTAAGAGTTTGGAGTAAATTTCTGTAAAAAAAAAGGTTATCTGGCTAGCATGTACTCCCTCCGTCCCCCAATTAAGTTACCACTTTCCTTTTTGGGCAGTCCCTAAATTAAGTTCACACTTCTTTACTTTCCTTATTTGGCAAATTATCTACATCAAAACAGTGTCAAAACGGTGCAAAACAGTGTCAAACAGACAGTGTCAAACAGTGTTTGAACAGTGCAAAACAGTGCACTCCATAGTAAAGTCAAATTTATTTTCTTAATACGTGTGAAGTCAAACCGGAAACTTAGTTGGGGGACGGAGGGAGTACTATTTTAAGCTAACAAGAGGTGCCACAAAACATTTTGAGTGTACCTTCTATCTTTCATGCAACCTAAACACTAACATGGATGCAGTGCAAGCCTTACCCTGCCAGTGCAAGAGAGAAGCCTAGTTGATCCAGTTTATCCACAACCACTAGTTGATAACTCCATCAACACTGAACAGGCACTTCTTACCTTAGCAGAAGAACGGGACTTATCAGGGAGAAGCCTAGTTGGTCCTCTTTATCCACCATCAGCTGATAATTCAATCAAAACTGAAAAGGCACTTGCTATCTTACCTGAAGAACGTAACTTGTCAGAGAGCAGTCTGGTTGGACCTGTTTATCAACAATCAGCTGATAATTCCATCCGCACTAATAAGGAACTGGTTATCTTACCTGAAGAACTAGACTTGTCAGAGAGAAGTCTAGTTGGTTCTGTTTATTCACCATCAACTGATAATTCCATCAACACTGAAGAGGCACTTGTCACCTTACCTGAAGAAGGTGACTTGTCAGAGAGATGTCTAGTTGGTTCTATTTGTCCACCATCAGCTGATACTTCTGTTGACACTGAAATGGCACTTGTTACTTTGCCTGAAGAATGTTGTGGCTTGTCAGAGTTGGGGCATTTGCCAGTCTGTTGTGAACAAGGTTTTGGTGAGTATCCACTACTTGATCAAATTGAATCAACAGAAAGGGATATGGAAGATCTTGGTGTTGGTGAAATACCAACTATCAAATTTGATAAGAAGACATTCATGGAAAATCTATTGACCTATATGGAAGAGAGCAGAATAATGGATGACAACCTCAATCTATCTAATGCTTTGATAGTTCCAACTCCAGAGGCTGTATCAATCCCTTTACCTAAATGGAAAAGCATAAGCCGTTTAAGGACAGAGCACCAAGTGTACGTATAATATCAATATGAAGAAGCTTCAATTATCACAATTGCATCTTTCCGATCGTGTATTCTATTAACATGTCTTAACATTTGAAATATTTTCTCACTGTATCCACTTGATGCAGCTATGAACTTCCGGATACACACCCACTTGTTATCGGGGTTAGTTTTTAACAGTCTTCAACTAAAAAGAATTGCATTCTTCTATTTGTTTTACACAACTATGATGTTGGAGTGAAACTATATAACATTTGAATGCAGTTAGAGACGCGAGAACCGGATGACCCTTGTCGATATCTGCTTGCTGTTATTAAGAAACCAGGTAGGTTTAGAGCAATTTAGCTCCATAGTGTCATAGTGCTACTGTATAAAGTATAAACATCTATATAGCTTTGCCATTCTGATCTTGAAGATCAAAATAGTGTTGTCCTCTGATATGTTTCATGTGACCTGCAGCAGATTCCTCAATGACTTCGAAGGACAGACCGGAAGAAGAAGAAGATGTTGAAACAATTCAAGGAACACTTCTGGTGAGATAAAATGAATTTATTGCATCCATACATTAAAAATTGTGAGTAATTCCCAGCATATTTGACTGTCCGATAGGAATTAAGAACTGACCTGTAATCGTTACTCAGATACCTTGCAGAACAGCAACTAAAGGAAGATTTCCACTCAATGGAACTTACTTCCAGGTTAATGAGGTGTGATGTGTTGTGCTTGTTAAAAACTTGGCTTATCATACAAGTCTCTGTTGACATGTAAGATGAGGATCCTGATATGGTCAACGGAAACATTCTTGCAGGTATTTGCTGATTATGAATCCAGCAAGCAACCTATAAGCGTTCCGAGAGCATGGGTATGGGAGCTGAGAAGAAAGACTTTATACTGTGGAACCTCAATAAAAACAATATTCCGAGGTAGAGTAGAGACAATACATATGTCATAAATGGTTCAACTTACATTAGTTTCCATAGCTCCCTGATGTGTGAAATAAACAGGGATGTCAGCTGAAGATGTGCAGAGATGTTTCTGGGAAGGTATGATGCGACAAAACACCTCCATACCGTTTTAGACTTTGCTCTCCTGTTTGGTTAGTGTTAAAACAAATCTTGTGATGGATACTACCGATAGACAGCAACCCTCTCTTACTTCATTCAGTATCACGGTTTTTCATATCTTAATTTCCAATCCAATTGAAAGACATTGTGGAAAACTGGAAATGTGTTCTAATTGTTGCATACAGGATATGTTTGTGTAAGGGCTTTTAACCGCAAAACCCGAAATCCATTGCCTCTTCCGCCAGAACTGCACCTCCCTGTGAGTAAGGCCATAAAGTCCAGGATTGAGAAAGCAAAAGAAAAGACGCCAGAACTGCACCTCCCAGTGAATAAGACCGTAAAGTCCAGGATTGAGAAAACAAAAGAAAAGACGCCAGAACTGCACCTCCCAGTGAGTAAGGCTGTAAAGTCCAGGATTGAGAAAACAAATAAAAAGACGCCAGAACTGCACCTCCCAGTGAGTAAGGCCTTAAAGTCCAGGATTGAGAAAACAAAAGAAAAGACGCCAGAACTGCACCTCCCAGTGAGTAAGGCTGTAAAGTCCAGGATTGAGAAAACAAAAGAAAAGACGCCAGAACTACACCTCCCAGTGAGTAAGGCTGTAAAGTCCAGGATTGAGAAAACAAAAGAAAAGAGAGACAGAAAAGGAAGCAGCAAGCTCCAACCCTGACTACAATTTCAGTTCTGCGCCTATGTAGATATATGTAGTTTAATCTCTTTTGTCGAAACCGTTTTCTTATGCATTTCCTGGAGCAGAAAGATCGTTTTGATACCATGGGAGATGCGGGAAAAGTCCTCCAGCAGTTTAGTTGCAGGAGAATGTAGATCACCTGAAGAAATGGGGCAGTAATTTTTGTTTCTAGTAAAAAAAGTTCTAAAGTATATATGTATAAATATTTCTAAACTGTAAAAATACTGTATAGCTTGATGTATTAAGCTTTGCACCGCAAATTTTCAGGGGAGATTTCAACAAATAGGAGTAAAACGTACGGATTTTCCAAAACTAAGACCGCAGATTCGCGTAAGACTCAACTACAACTGCATTGACCACAATACTCTTACCTTTAGTAAATATCAGACATTAAATAGACAATAAATAGACAATAAGTAGACAATAAATCGCCCCTTACCCTCCCATCCATGCCGCCAGCATCACAGTGGCAGAGCCATCCCCGGTGGTCACCGCCATTCAGCACCACCAGCCACCCGCCCTCACCCCCAACATCCAGTCACCCCGCCCTCACCCCTAACATCCATCCCCCAACCCTACTCCCCAGCCCTCCTCCCCTGCTCCCCTTCCCCGTCCCTGTTCTTCCCTCATGTCCTTCTCTGGTCAGTTCACACAAAACCTCAGCCATAACACCACCATCGGCGGCGGCGGCCCCAAATCGGACCCCAACAGCAGCGGCGGCCTCAAATCGGACCCCACCTGCAGCGGCGGTCCCCAATCGTTCCCCGAATCTGGCAACGGCAACATGGAGGATGGGTTCCTGCGGAAGAAGGGCACGTCTGGCAACGGAAGTTTTTTGGTTTGAAGGGCAAATTTGGAAAGTTAGAAATAGGTTTCCTAATCTAGAACTAAATAAGTAATATGAATGGAAAAAACATTAACAGGTATTATTTTTGTAAAAGAGCTATGATTTGGTCCTACTAGGAGCAAATTTCTCAATTTTCAACGCCTGATGATACATTTCGGGCTCCCTACAGCCGACCTTATCATATATATTGTCGGGGCAATTTTGCTATAGGTACCCCAACTTTACCCCATTCCCTACCCCATATAAATACCTCCTTTTTTACCATTCTTTTTACCCCTTTTCCAAAAACCCTTCCCCCTCCCCCACTTTTCTTCTTCTTCCCTCCCTCTCTCCTCCATCTTCTCTTTTCACGCCCCTCCCCTCCCATTTCTTTCTATTTTCTCCAAAACTTGATTTCTTCTCCATTTCAAGATCTCTCCCCATCAAGTCTTCTCATTTTTTCAATCTTTTCTCCCTCCAAGCTTCTTCTCCTGCTTCTCTCCTCGTCGGCTTATTTTTTTCGTTTCAAATGGAAGAGCTACAGTAATCGAACGAAAAGGAGAGCTCGGTGATGTGGGGAGACAACGACGAAAGTACAAACCAAGAAGCTTTGAATGACTTGGAGCAGATCTACTTTTCTTGATTTTTTTCTTGATTTTTTGGTGCGTTTTAGAAAAAAATGGTTGTCTGTCTAACAGACAACTTGTAAGTGCAGTGTCTGTATTTGTTAGTCTAGGAGAAGAATATGTTGTTTTTCGTCATTTATTTGTATTTTGTTTGGCGGACAGACAATTTGGAACTGCATTGTCTGTCTAGCATAGTTGTTAGAGTCATACATAAAATGTGTGTGTGGCCAGACAACTTTAAATGTATGTGATTTTGTTTGGAAACATGGTTGTATTGGTAATGTAGTTTTTATATAAATGTGTGTGCCTTTTTTTTGAAACATGGTTGTATTGGTAATGTGAAGACACATGTGGTGAATGAATTACATATGTAATCTCTACAAGGAGAAGAGTAAGGTTTCCTGTTAGAATAAAGAATATTCTCTGTCTTACAGCCAGACAAATTTTGTCTTGGCCAGACATTAATAATCTGGGACAATTAACTACTCTCTGTCCTACAGCCAGACAAATTTTGTCTTGGCCAGACATTAGTAGTCTGGGTCAATTAAGTACTCTTTGTCGTATAGCCAGACAAATTTTGTCTGGGCCAGACATTAGTAGTCTGGGCCAATTAAGTACTCTATGTCTGGGTATCTATGGTATTGTCTGTATGTGTAAAGTTATTGTCTTTCTACGTGAAAATAATGTATGTATGATTATCTCTAATGTCTGTCTAGATATATGTATTGTTTATCTATTCACAACAAATAATTTGTTGCAATAAATTGACGGACAACTCAAATGGAATGTCAGACAACTACTTTCACATGACAGACAACTACAAACCAATTTTAAACAATTGGATTTAACGTGCCAGACAACTAATATGCCTTGCTAGACATCTCAATATCATCACAGAGCAATCTAAATATACACAACTACTTCACAATTTCACCAGAAAGACAACTATCTTCACATTACAGACAAATCAAATGGAATGCCAGACAACTCTTTTCACTTCACACACAACTACAAACCAATTTTCAACAAACAAAAATACAACAAAAAAACTATGAGAGCATTCAACTTCGAGAATCTTCAAACACAGGCAACTATTTCCAAGTTGAGCAGCAAATGGGGCAAATGAGGCTGCCTTGTTTCTTCACATGTGCAGCAGCTCTTTCCAGACAGACATCTTATGTAAGATTCCACCAATTGTGAAACTATGCTCAGCTAGACAGACACTGCAATTCAAATTTGTCTGTCAGACAGATAACTGTTTTTCATGTGGAGTTGGACAAAATAATACCAAAAAATGAGAAAAAAAGACCATGACGTGCGAGGGCTCAACTGCTCCAGCCGCTAGCTCCTCTTTCCGTCCAGTCGCCGCTCGCTCCCCTCTTTTCACTAGATTTTGAAGCTAACAGATCTGAACCAAAGCTAACAGATCTGAACCATCACATGTATGTTTCGAAGTTATGTTCGCTGGAATTTGAAGGTTTTGAATTGAAATTACAAGTTGGTGCAGAAGGTGTGGAAGGTTTTTAAATCTGGTCGTTACTGAAATTACTGGGACGGCGGTCAAGTGTCGCCGGAGAAGATGACCGGTTTGCCACCGGACCTGCTTGGGTGTTTGCCGGAACCAAGCAGGGGGGCTCAACTGAGGGAAATGAAAGGGAGATGAAAGGGAGAAGGGCTGGCTGGAAAAGAGAGAGATGAAAGGGAGATGAGGGGGAAGGAAGATGAGGGAGTGGGGGTAAATTTTTGGGAGGGTATTTATATGAGGTAGGAAATGGGGTGACTATGAGGTACCTATAGCAAACTTGTTGTCGGGGACTAGAGGGGAATTCTTATCAAAATACCCTCTTTTCAAACTCATTTTAGCAAATTGCTCATTTTCTATTTTTTTCTTTTTTTAAGAGGCCCATTTTCTTTTTTAAATAATACTCCCTCCGTCCCATAAAATAGTTCCCACGATAATTTGTATAGTAGTTTAAGAAAGTGAAAATAAAGTGAAAATGTATGATTGTGCTTGAGTAAGAAAAAGGTAGATGAATGTTAGTCACACAAAATCTTCCAAATAGGGAAATGAGAAATATTTTTTGAGAACGGTCCAAAAGGAAACGGGAAACTATTTTGCAGGACGGATGGAGTAGTGACATGTAGAATTACATAAAAACACGTGGCATATGACATTGTTTAATTTAAAAGAATGTGAGTTTGAATATCACCTTCTCTTTAACGTTTGAGTGTGCAGCACCCTTCTTCATTCGAACTCATCTTTCTTTCTCTTCTTTCCAAAAATACTTCTGAACTCAACTTTCGTTCTAAAATGTTCATCCTGTGTGTTCATTCTGCTTCCTAGCACATTCAACCATCATGAAATTCAAGAACATGACCATTTATAAGGTTAAATTAGATAAGCCTAAAGCAAGTGTAGGCTGATAAATTTAAGACAAAGTGGTCCCACTACAAATCCTCTTACGAAGTCGAGTGCAGAGCAGAGCAAGTGAATCCGATCAAATAAGCCTTTAGAATCCTCATGCTTAGGGTTGGGCATGGTTGGTTAACAAGACTTCGGTTAACCAAATTGTTGGGAATAACATGATAATATGAAAGAAGTGACATACAAGCTTTAACTAAAAACTCTCAAAACACCTCACATATCTCTCAAAGATATTCACAACTCAAACTTGGTTGTGCTAGGATGATCTATGATCTAATTTACTTGATCATAGAAAGACTCTCCAATCTCTCTATTTATAGCACCAAAGCTAGGTACTAGGAAGGTGGAAGGAAGAGGGATTAAACATAAGGAAGCTTCAATGGTGGTTGAGGAGGTTTCCTTTGTCATTTTTACGCATGGAGGAAGCTTCATGGATGTTGCTCACAATTGGATACTTCAATTTGCTTGTACTTGGATATGTCCTGGAAATTGAATTCTTCAATTCTCCCCTTCTAGGCATATTCAAAACAAGCATCCTGGCTATGTCTCTGCACAGCTCTAACTTATCTCGTGTCACCACCTTTGTCAGCATGTCTGATGGATTCTCCTTTGTATTGATCTTCACTAGTCTCAACAGTTGTTGATCAATCGTCTCCCGTATCCAGTGATACCAAACATCGATATGCTTTGTACGAGAATGGTACATAGAGTTCTTGCTCAAGTCTAGAGCACTTTGACTGTCACAATGTACCTTGTACTCTTTCTGCTGGATCCCAAGTTCTTGGAGAAAGCGCTTTAGCCACAACATTTCCTTACCGGCTTCAGCGGCAGCAATGTATTCTGTTTTTTGTAGATAAAGCGACACAATTCTGCAATCTTGATTGCCAAGAAACAGCTCCCCTGTAAAGGTGTAGATATATCCTGAAGTAGACTTTCTACTATCAATATCTCCAGTCATATCAGCATCTGTGTAGCCTTCAAAGACTGGATCAGCTCCTTCGTAGCAAAGACATAACTTTGTGGTACCTTTCAAGTACCTGAGAATCCATTTGACTGCCTCCCAATGCTCCTTCCTGGAGTTAGAGAGAAAATGACTCACCGTACCCATTGTCTGTGCAATGTTTGACCTTGTGTTGTTGTGCATACCATGGCGTACATCAAACTTCCAACTGCTGAAGAATATGGAACTGCTGACATCTCCCCGATCTCTTCCTTGGATGTGGGACATGTTCTTTTGCTCAACTTGAAGTCATTCGCAAGTAGAACAC